TGTTTACTGTATGAATATTACAACATCTACTACTCGGAGGACAAATATGGCTTTTATAGTTTTTTTGTTTTTACAGTTTTGTTCACCTGTGTCTGACTTGTTTATGTTTTCTTAATGGTGGATGACCTGAGTGCAGCACTTTCTAAACTCGAGTGTCGAGTAGCACTTCTGGAGAAAACACCGGCAGCAGCTGCAGCTCCATCAGTTCCCTGCACAAATGTGAGTTTCTCTGAACTGATTGTTTGTCTTGTTACGTCACACTGTTAGTTTAAAAACTAAAGTTTTTCTCTGCAGGGTAAATCCGCTCCACATAAAAGCAGGGCTCTGGTGAAAGAGGAAGACAACGATGATGATATTGACCTGTTTGGCAGTGACGAAGATGATGACGAGGCAGAAAAACTAAAAGAGCAGAGATTGAAGGAATATGCCGAAAAGAAGGCCAAGAAACCCGCCCTCATCGCAAAGTCCTCAATCCTGCTGGACGTCAAACCTGTAAGATGTTAATCTGGCTATGGCAGAATATTATCAGTACATCTCACCTCCAGAGTTGACCCAAACACACCTGGTCTCATGATTCCTTCCACATGCTTTTTTTTTCAGTGGGATGATGAAACAGACATGGTGAAGTTGGAGGAGTGTGTCCGCTCCATCCAGACCGACGGCCTGTTGTGGGGCACATCCAAGCAGGTTCCTGTGGGTTATGGCATCAAGAAGCTCCAGATTGCGTGTGTGGTAGACATTTCTTACCTTCTGTTCCAGGTCCAGAGTGTTGATGTTGCAGCTTTCAACAAGATCTGAGGTTTTTTTTAATTTGCCATTTTCTGTTTTTTCCCTCTCTGTCACACCTAATTTCTCAACTGGATTCTGTCAACGGTTAATAACAATTGTGATATCAATAAAAAAACTGAAACGTTTCTTGTTCTCTGCTGTTTTCCTAATGCTAGTTTTACTGTGATGACAAACACAGTTACATATAAAAACGCGTACTTCGTAAATTACCTTTAGTGCAGTACATCCATCCATCCATCCATCCATTTTCATCCGCTTATCCGTTACCGGGTCGCGGGGGCAGCAGTCGCCACCCAAATCACATTGCACCATACCAACCCCCCAAACCTTCCTGCAGGTGGTGAGTCCACTGGAAGGTACCAACCGCCCTAACCAGGATTCGAACTTGCCCAGGAGGTGAACCCTGGGGTTCCACACCAATGACAGAGACATTGCCTCTGGGCCAAAGCACCACATGTGCAGTACACTAAATTATTTATTTATTTTTATTTTTTTGAAACTGCTGTGTTGTGTTTTGTCTACTGTGTTGAGTTGATCAGTGTCATCACACTCACCTCTGTCTCACTGGTATCACTGTCCTGGGTATAGACACCTGTCTCTTCACCCAGTCACTTGTGAGATCACTGGTCATGTGCATTGTGTGATGTTTCCTCATTCCAAGCTCCTGTCAACCAGTGAGTTTTGTTTAAAGTTTAATGAATAAACTTTGTGCACTTGAACAGAGTCTCCCGGGTACTGGATTTGGGCCCTGCCTGCGTCCTCACATTGCAAAATGTAACAGTGTTGTACTGTATTCCCTGCCAGTAAAATCAAGGCAAACATTATTGTCTTTATCGGTTATAAAAGAATGTTGGTCCTTTGAATGCTTGATTGAGCTCCTGCATTTTTGTTAAAACTGTGTCTCAGCGTCAGAGAATTAAAGGCAGTGTAGCTTAGAAAACTAATAGTAATAAATACTGAACATTTGCTGCCAATTTCTGATATCGAAGCATATCTGGTATCTGTTTTATTCTTTATAAAGCTGAATAAAACATTACCTGATGACTGACTGGTATTGGCAAACAATACAGACATGTATTCGCTGGAAAATATTATTTGCAACTAAAAAACTCGATGAAAGTGCGCCATGTTAAATAAATGATATTAACTTTTAAACTGCTTCATATTGTGGTCACTGTCCTTGTCCTGACAAAAAAAAACAACAACAAACAAACAAAACAAAAACACACACACACAAAAAAAAAAAAAAAACTCAAAAGAACACCAGATCTAGTTGTGTTTGTCACTGTGGAAGTCAATTGACTTTTATTCCCATGGATTAAGTTAGACAGAGAGGAACAACAAAAACAGACACGCCGGCGGCGTCTGCATTCATTTATGTTAGCCAAATAGAATTAAGTTTGTCAGTGAGAACATTCCAATCTGCTCTTTGTCCATCAGTCTGTAAATAAAGGTTCAAATAAACTACCAGTCTGTCTTCAGGTCTATTGTATTTTAAGTAGTGTTGCACTTTTCTGGAGATGGTGTTCTTTTTTTTTCTACATACAGTATTTGTGTATTTCATCACTTTTAAGGCAAAACTCTCAACATACAGAGGGAAAACTAGTGTGTTCAATTTCAGTTCTACAACGGTTGCCAGTTCACTGTCAGATGTGAATAAAGTACTAACAGTTTATAGGATGTTTGACTTGACCCTTAATTATTTTATAATTTTAATGTACATGCTAAAAGAGGTAAACACATTCATTCAGAACAGAAAACAATGGTATTGTCTGAGGGCGGTATGCACAAATATTTTTCTTCCACTTTGTCTTTTCATATGAAAAGTCCATAATGCCAACATAATTACCTTCTCTGCTGATGCTTCGCTGTGATTTATAAATTCCCTGCTTTCATTTTATCCGTTTCCTCACTAGGAAATGATGTAAGACAGTTAGCAGTTTTTGCAGGAGTAAATGTTTTGTCGTAGTAGTCTGATGAGGTGGTGTGAGTATTACAACAGACAGCGCAGTAATAAATACGCTCCCACCAGTGTATGTGAGCATTTTCACAACACGTGCTGCTAAAACAACCCCCCCCCCAGGAAAGGTTCTGTCAGTAGCACCCGTGGGCGGATATTATGGCATGTTCAGGAGGCTGTACATCCTTCACACTCTCTCCCTGGTAGAATGCTTTGCTGTGTGACAGGGGACACACTCAATTTTCACCACAGCATGATCCACAGCTTATGATGTAACCAGATTTCATAATGGGTTATATAAAGTTTTGACAAGATATCACTGAAAATCGGTTTCCATTAACGGAGTGGCTCTGTCTTTCTTCCTGCAGTGGGTGCTGGCCTTTGAGATCTTCATCCCACTGGTTCTCTTCTTCATCCTCCTGGGCCTCAGGCAGAAAAAGCCTGCCATTCCTGTCAAGGAAGGTAGGCCTTCTATCGTCATGTCTACCAGTTTTTATGTAATATTAACATCTTCTTACAGTTACCTTTTTTGTCCCCCTGAGTCCTGAGTCCTAATTTAGCTTGCACCACAATTAGCAGCTGTGCAACAAGTACAGCTGGCTCCTGCCTCAGTGTGTTTGGGCTGGAAGGCCAGAAGTGATGTGACTGTAATACTAGTGTCCTGGGTCAACCTAGTGTCTCTGGCGGCATCTCTGAACTTCCAGTGACCTCTAGATCTCGTATAGTTTAAATTAAATAAGTTAACAGAGACTGGCAAAACTGGACAACTTCCACAATGCTGTCAAATTTGTGTAAAAAGCACTTCCTGATGCTAAGATTTGCCATTTGGAAATTGCTGTATTGTATGACTTTTTTTATATATATAGAAATATGTCAAAATATGTGTATGTATGTATAAATATGTCTCTGTGTTTATATGTATATACTGTATGTCTATATATATATACACACATACCTGTGTATATTTATTATATATAATTCCTAATCTGATTCATTTATCATGATTTATCCTGATTAACCGAGGTCAGTCACATTTCTACGACTCGCTCTGATTGGTCTTTGAAATACAAGTACTTATGTTGTGTTTAAGTGATATTTCAGTTTTCCTACAAAACAGACCTGGTGTGTCACAGGAGTATAAACAAGCTTTTTCTGTGGTGAGGCAGCAGAGCAGACTTAACACTGGTGGTGACCCACCAGTGTTTAATCTCCCATGACTGTACACTCACTTTGGCACAATCTCCTACAGCAGGCAGTTTGCCAGCAGCACAGAAAAAGTCCATTACTCCTGAAATTGCAGGATCCGTAGGCATTGAATTCATGTGTGTATGTGAAAGTGTCATGTGAAAATATTTGAAATATAATTTTTGTAAAAGTGAGAACCTTAGAACTTTTAGATTTTAATTTTGTTAAATTTTAATTCAGATTTTGTTTTTGCCTCTAAAAGTGTGTTGTGTCTTTTTTGTCCTGTAGATTTTTGTTGCCACGTCTTTACGTAGTTACTTCAGTTTGTTTTTAGAGCACTCGCTGTTGCCTGTAGCATCACACTGTAGCTCCCAATTCATTTGGATTTTGTCTCTTTTTTTCTTTGTACTCCACCTCTGTCCTCACTCTGCTGTTTTTTCTTGGTTTTTCTACGTCTGTTTTTCTTTTCTGTTCCTGTGCATGATGCATGTTCCTCTTCATGTTGGACTGGCCAGTGTGTAAGTGTCCTAACCACATTATTATATTATTCTGATTGTGAGTGACGTAGCATATTAATGATCTTTCCAGGGTTGTGTTACCTCTGTGTTGTTCCTGTGTGTTTACTGTAACTGTTCCATGTTGATGAAACACTATGTCCACAAACCTTGACATTCAGTCAGAAAAGACACGAAAGCAACAATGACACCAGTCATCCTTAAAAAGACAAGAACAATGATATAAAATAATGAACGAGTGCCGTATTCCTTTACAGGTCTGGTTCAATACAACCACAGGAAAAAAAAAAGTAGGAAGGAACTTAGGCAAACAGACCAACTGGTTCATGTTGTGCAGCACTGGGGAAGATATTTTGAATATGTGAATATTCACCAGTCACAAAACAACAATCTGCATAGTGTACAAATCTTTCATTTGCATTTGCAAACTCCTTGGCCAAGAAGGTCCTTAAAATTATTCTGTACGTTCTGCACAATAAATGTTTTGTTTTCAGAATTCCCATTATTGCTGTTCCTCCACATGAGCACAAAAGAAAGTGGAAAAATATATAAGATTTTACATGTAGAAACTCTAATTTCATGCATGTGTGAGATAGAGTTTTAAAATACTTCTTACCTCTGTGCCAGAGCAGCATCATAATATAGATAAAGGACGATTATATTTTTAAACATAAAGAATCTCTGACTGACTGAAATGTTCAGGTTTGACCTGTTCTGTTAGTACATGGTTGAACTCACTCTTCTTTAACCCACAGCAGATTAAAGTGCGTGTGCTTACGCGTCTTTATTTTTCTTCTTCCCTGGAAAATAATTTGCATTTGAATCTCCCAGTACAGATTGTGTATGACTAAACGACAGCTTCTGACCTGCATTTAACTCCTTGACTGAATCAACCTTTTTTCAGCTGAATGGTCAGAGAGGACTCATGTAGGTGAAGTTAGAGTTTGACTGATTTTGAGATTTGAAAATGCTGTGGAACAAGAGATTGGGTCTTTTTCTGATTTGAAAAACTAAATTTATACCGCTTAAGTTTGTCACCACAGACATGAAAGTGATGCCTACAGTTGAAATACTGCTGACATTTACAATAGCGGTGGGCAAAGGTTTTGGCTCACGGGCCAAAATAAGGTTCAAAAGTTGACTGGCAGGCCGGTTCAGTATTGGTTGGGTCTAGAATGCTGGGTGAAATAATATGAATAAAATATACAAGAATAAATATAAACTTTCTAGGATAATTTGGCACATTTGATGTCTGCTCCCATCTAGTAGCAACAACAAAAATTACAGTCAATTCGTTTCAATGGATGAAACAGAAGGCTTGACCACAGTCTTTACAATATCTTGAGCCAGTGTTTGGTGTGCCAGATTAGAAAGCCCAGGGAGCCATATCGGGCCCATGGGCCGGAGTTTGAAGCACCGCATTACATTTTTTGAAAATGACAGCGGTACACGATCTCTTCTGTACCTTCACCTGACATCTTGTTATTTGTAAAAATTTCAGATGAAGCCTTTAAAGAAATGCCATTTTGCACCTGTTGTTGGAAACAGCAGGATTAAAAAACAGACCAAGTTTCTCTGCTTCTAAGAAAAGAATAAGAGGATAACGATTTCTATGTTATATGGGTGATATAAAAAAGAGAGTTGAGAAGGAGGACAATGCGAAGTGGTTAGCTGGGCAGAAAGTGTCGGCAGCACAGACTATCGCCATGGAAACATTGGGCTTTTATGAACAGCAGTAGTTTCTCTTTTGACCTGGGCAGTGTCCCTGAACAGATGAAATGATCAATAATGTGAAGAGACAGTTTTGTGCAGCATCATGATGAAAGGCCTGTACAAACAGCACTGACATGTCTGACCTCTCTGACCCTTCGCTGCCCATCAGGCAGTCAAGTCTGAAACTTACTGCTTACTTGCTCACTTCCTCTTCTCCTCTAACACTTCTCTCTCTCCCTCTGCTCTTCCTTTTCTCCTTGTTTTTTTTTCTTCACAATCAACCTGTTACATTCCTCCTACACCCCACTTCTATCCTACGTCCCCCTCTCTGACATTGCAACATTTATTCCCCTTGGCCTGTTGGTTTCCGCCCACTCGTCCCCCGATGTCTAGCCTTTTACAGTGCAGCTCCTCTCACCTCGGCTGGGATTATTCCCATCATGCAGTCTCTGTGCCCAGATGGACAGAGGGATGAGTTTGGCTTCTTGCAGTACAAGAACTCTACGTGAGTAGACATTACCTTTTACCAACCACATTAGATTCTAAGACGATTGGTTTGTCTGAGTATTTATAGTTTCATGCAAATTTTGGATTTGAAAAATGCTAAGAATTTAATTCTGCATTCCTCCATTTTTAAGAAAAGGTAAGTAGCTTTCAAATAGTGGCTTAAAATAATAAAACATTTTTTTTATAGAAATTCACTTACTGTGGGACCCTTTTATGTAACCTTCACCCCCCACCACTGTTTTATTTTTCTGTGCAAATTGGTGTTTTCTTAAAACCAAGTGAAATAATCTCCAAAAGCCTATTGACACATATGTCACAACTGCATAAAAATGAAATTGGCCTCCTAAATATTGTCAACTCCTGTTGTCATATGATTTGTTTTCTTATGTTTCTTAAGAAAAGATATTGTTTTACCTCTTCCTTATAGAAAGTTAGACTTTGTATTTTAAATTCATCATCAAAGCACAGTAAGCAAAACTAATAGATGGAAACATAAATCATACATGATCATATCTCAGGCAGTCTTGTTAAGAAAGCTAAAACAATGAAAATATTGTTTTAAATATTCTTTTCAATCAAACCTTAACTGCTTAAAACCAATTGATTGCAGTTTTTGTTTCATGGTTTGAAACTAGGGTTGAAAACAGAGCAGGATTCAAACAGGACTGTCAGAGGGAGAGGCTGTTTATGAGCCAGTTGCTGATGTAATGCTTTGTAACTGCAAGATAAAAATAGAACATTGACAAATGGATGAAAAATGAATCACAAAACACCTAAAACAAAAAGCCTCCTCAGTCTAATCTAGCCTGTGTATAACTTTTGCACCATTTATGTTTGAGTTTTTTAACTACCGTATTTTCCGGACTATAGAAAGCAACCACTAATAAAAAAAAAAATAGAAAAATTATACATATAAGCCGCACCGGACTATAAGCCGCCGATATCCAGGTTGAGGAATTACATATTTACCGGATACACAGGAACACAGAAAGATTTTGTACCGTAAATGTTTATTTATATACCTGAACTGATTGTTTCTGAAAAGTGCCTCTAACACGGCAGTAAAAGTGTCAATCGAACAAAACTGAAAAGTAATTAATGGCTTTATTAATCTTCCCCCTGCGCACTGCAACCGCTGAAGTTGTCTTCTTCAGTGTCGGAGTTGAACAGCCTCAGAAAAACATAGTCACATACCGTTTTAGTCTCTCTGTCAGTGTTGCTGTCATCCCGAGGTAAAGTGGCCTCTGAAGGTGCGCTGCTCTCTTCTTTCCGCTGCCGTCTCCAACGTCTCACCATGGATTCATTAACGCCTAGCTTATGTGCAGCAGCCCTATTTCCTCCCTGGCTAGCCAGATCGATGGCCCTTAACTTAAAAGCTGCATCATACGAACTTCTTCGTGTGCTTTCCATGATGACGGGGTGAGGGTGTGGAAATAATTCGCTGTCGTGCTAAATAAAAACTAGCGTGTTCTTCTTTGCACTGACTTCGCCTGTCTGTCTTGTTTTTGCACTTCCTGCTAGAACGCTCCGCTGGCGTTCCAGCAGGGGGCGTCCTGAAGAAAAATAGAAAAGATCTTTATATAAGCCGCATGGTTCAAAGCGTGGGAAAAAAGTAGCGTCTTATAATCCGGAAAATATGGTAATTTCAACTGTTATCTTCCCAACGTTGCCCCTGTGTTAGTGTTACCCAGCTGCTGGAGCGGATCAGTGAGGTGGTTGAACAAAATCGACTCTTCACCTCTGAACGACCCGGTTTGGGTCAGGAGTTGGAGACTCTGCAGCGGCACCTGGAGAATCTTAGCTCCACACCTGTACCTCCAGACTCTGCCTTCAACCAGAGCCAAGGTTAGAACACATACCATACTTCATCATCAACATCATCGTCAATTTCCATATCATGTAGTCAGTATTTATTTTTTTAAGCTATATATCGTATCGTTAACAGACAGATACAGTAATTTCATCCTTGTCAGGTGACCTTAGGCAGAGTCCCTGCTGACATTGACATACAGTTATTGCGTTCATTTTTATACTTTTTTTTTTTTTTTGGACATGCCTTGAAAGTATTAGTTGATCGACAATGGTGTTTAACAAGGCTTGGTTTGTAATAAAATATATAGTTATGTAATATATTTTATTGAGTAAAACCCCATTTCCCACACACCACTACATCATCATCACCCATCTGAACAATTGTTAATGGCAAGATTGATCCATACTGAATGACGTTTGGGCAGACTGATTTTGTCATCTAGTGTTTCGTTAGACATTCAGACAAACCAATAACAGACAATTAATCTAGAAATATATATATAATGATAATATTTACAAATACTGTTAACTTTAAGAGAAAAAAACAAATTTATCTGAGCAATACAATCAAGAATACAGTGTCAATCAGGAGCAGATGAACAAGTAAAATAAAAGAAGAAAACAAACAGATATTACATTTATAAAGCAGTTACTGAGTAGATACATAAATCAATAATCATCAGAAAAATTCAGATTTACACTGCATTAGAGGAGTCCTGACATTCAAAAATGCATCTGTAAATATTGAAAAATCTCTCACATAGTCATCCACAGAAGGCTGTATTTGTTAAGTTTTACTATAATAGTCTGTATTCATGAGCACCTTTCATTAAAGTGGTGGCTTCATCTTATCTACACCAGTTCATCATTTACATTCATGCCTATGGTCAATGCAGTTTATATGGACTAAGAGGGTAAACGTGGACGCGAACATGAAGAACGAGCAAAACTTCATACAGAAAGACCAGGGATTGAAACCGTCAACCCAGCGATCTCCTTCTGTGTTAGGCAGCAGTGGCTAACCATTTTTTTTACAGTGTGGCGCTATAATAACTAATTCATGTCAAAAATGAGGAGAGAAGGAGGCAAAACAACATCATTCTTCACACAAGTGAAGTGCCGTTAGTAGCTGCCAAAAGCTGAATACTCAGAAAAATATAATAAAACCAAGACTATAAATGTAATCAGTTCTTCTTCTGCCCCTCGTGTGAGTGCATTTACTACAACACTACCCTCTGTACTAGTGTTGCCTTGTTCCTGTGTTTGAATACCAATCCAAGGAAGAATAATACCATCTATAAGAACAATAATTCACAGGTCAGCTGTGGAGCTCAGGGCCAGACCAATGTAAACTCTCAACACCATTCCTACATTTATTTACAAAGCCGGAGGAGGAGGAGTTGAGTGAGAACGGCCAGGATAGAGTATGATGCAATGCTGTGTTGCATTATTAAAACTACTCCATAAATATAAGGAGCTTGTACTGATGTATCTGCAAAATCCCTGCTCTGTTCTGAGCTTAGCTGCCTGAAACCACTATATGTTAATTACCCTGAAGGTTTTGGCCTCTGCTGGATGATTAATCACACACTTAGCAAAAAAAACAACATTAGAGTCTGATATTTTAATCTTGTCTGTTCTGTTTGTCATTAAAAGGATTTCTCCATGCTGCCTCCTACTTGAAAATACACAGTAAGCAGAGTTGGCATTGATCCATGCTGCAGTTTGAAGTGATGTTATTGAGCATGCCGATGGAATCGAAGGAGAGCTGTTCCAGATTAAAGATGCCATGTCAGTCATGGGAACACAATTTAGCTTTGGTCAGCATGTTTTCAAACTCCCAGGATAAAAAGGGAAGTAAAGCATGTGGTATTTAGTAGTGCTTGGTGATGTTATAACCAGCCTCTGCTGCCAGCGGAGTGGAAAATTGTATTATTGGTAGGATTTTAAAGGATTTTTTTTTCTATAGCAAAAGCTATAAACACACAAATATAGGTGTGTTTGAAGTGGAGAGTACATGGTTTTTATGTCTGGTGGAGTCGTGTTCTTCCTTAGGAGGCTCTAAAAACAGCGAAATAAATTTCTCTGGAGAAAATAGATAGTAATTACACTTTAATGGTTATGTCCCTTTTTCATACTCTGTGGCAGCTGAATATTTTTAGGTCACTGCTTTACCAGTGCTCATCTGATTTTCCAATTTTAGCCTCTGGATCCATCCCATTGTCTCCAGATTTCTCCTCTGAATAAATCACAGAGTTTAGTAACGTGAATTTTCTTTCATTAAAAAAAAAAATATTGGATTTGAGTCTGCTTCTGTTTAACCGTAAACATTGTGACTTCCAGATGGCGTCAACCCAGGTGGTCTACCTACACTATAAGCTGAGGCTGACTTGTCGTCCAAAATTTGATTCAAGTCATTTTACATCTGTGTGTGTTTGTGCTTTGTCCACAGGCTTCACACTGGCCAGTGTGCTGAAGAATCAGTCGGCGTTCCATCAGTTCCTGGAGAAGAACCTTTCCTTGTCCAACTCGACCAGCAGTTTACTGCTCAGCATTCCCCTCAGTGTGAGAGAGGTGAGTCACTGCTGCCACTGCACTCACATCTAACTCTGTTTCCAAGACTGTGTCCCATCTGTCTTATGCAGTGTCAGTCAATTCGTCCAGCTGCTGCCAGGTAACTGGTGTTTATGTCACCAATAATTCTGATGAATAGATGACCGTTTGGCCATGTGTTGTTCTATTGTTATTTCTATAGATTTAATATAATTTATTTAGGTGGCCCAAAGCTTTAAGAACAAAGTAACAGAATTGGGGATGTCCAATAATATTGTCCGATCAATATTACCAGCCCGATATTAGCATATTCTTTAATATCTGTAAGAATAATGATTGGTTTTTCCTTTGGTAATAAAAACCCAATAACCCAATGCCTGGGTGTCGCCAAATGTTGTGTGCCCAAAAATGTATTTTAATGAATCTCATACTCATACAATAGTTTGTAGAGATAAATAAATAAATATTACCAGGCCAATATTGGTATTGGTTGATATTGGAATTGGAAATTAAGTGTTTGGACAATATTGGATATTAGCAAACAGTTAATATTGGACATCCCTGAACGGAGTTCTATTTGAAGGGTCAAAGAGAAATATAGTCCAAAGACAAGAGATGATTTTACCTGAAAAGGTCAAATAATAAAAAAAAACACACTTTCAAAGCAACACAGTGGAAGAATGCATTTGTGAAAAGACAAAGAGAAAAGTTAACTTCTGAAAGGAAGCAGCAGGTAAAGAGTCCATGCCTCAGTGGACCGCATAAAATGGGTTTACAGTATGTCAGACAGCAGAGAGGAGAAGATATCACACATGGAGGAAATGTATTAAAGGTTTATTCTATAGTTCTGTTGAAAGCTTCTGTCCTAATGTAACATTCGTGTAGGAGATAATGATTTGATTTAAAATAATTCTTCATGAAAAGTTTCCTGATTTTCTTTTTGCCCTACATTTTACCCTTATGAGTCACAACAGTTCTATATAAATGTTTTTTTTGCCTTGTCCTTCTCAGATTGACCCGGAACAAATGTTTTTACACAGACAACGTTAGGTCACTAGTTTAATATATTGATCGTCAGCATTTGTTCTGTGAAGTTTCCTGTCCCATCATCACCGAGAGCCATGGGTTGACACACCCATCCTCGCTCCACTGGTGTGACAGTTATTGTGGACACTTTGATTTGATTTAAACTTCAAATCCAGCCTCCCCCTTTTCCTTCTCCTCCACTAAACCATTTCACCCATGTCTCTTCTCATTTTATTTCAAATCGTACATCTCAATTCCAAACAGATATGGCCAGAGCACACAGGCAGTGTTAAAATATTAGAAAAAACAGTAAAGATTGTGTTGTGGGTTGTTGTGTTGTCCTGCCCCATGAGAAAACCATAACACAGTGACATTTAGCAAACACTACAGACCATTAAACAGCTACACTACGGATGCATAATACGCATAAACAAGTTCAGCTCATAAACACTGGCAGAGCGTGAAACGGGCCCTCAGACAACATCTGTGTCGACCACGACCGTAGCTGGAGGTAATGGCCTTTTGCTGAAGTGTGCCTTGTTGTACCTTATGGACCAACAGTTACTGCATGCCCTCAGGACATTATGGGAAGGTGGCAGTAGATGGGGTGCAGGTGGTAAAGTCCTCTGTTGTTCTAATACTAGAGATGGCCGTACAGAGTGAGTTTGAGATAAAAATGTCAAATCCAAATGACAGAGGGAATAACAACCCACCAGGCCTGGAAATACATTGGTTCATTTTCTGTTATTTAGCTTTGGTCTACAAGAAAACAAGGTTTTTCTCATTGGGTTAACAATTGCAATAAAACAGTTCACTTCATGTGACAACTGTGTGAAGTACTTAATAATTTGATAACTAATTTCCAGCTCCTGTCAAAACTTAATTTGTGAGAAGACATAGGGGATGGCCACAGGGAGCTGTCCACCAAACTAGGGCTAGGGCATTGACTGAGCTGTAGTCTGAGAGAGCCAACAGGTGATACAAGGAGCTGAATGACCATAGTATTCACTGACCTGTGTCCAGAGGTTTACTCAGTTATGGTGGCCTATGACCTATGACCTACGATATAGGACTAAAGCAGTACAGGTTGAAGAGGAGGTCACAATACGTAATTGAAACAGACCAGCTTTGCTTGATGAATGTGTTAAATGCTGTGCCTGTTTAAAACCAGTTCATGTTTTACTGCACTTGTAATAATATTTTGAGGACATTCAGATCTTCTCCCTTAGTCTATGCCCACTCCAACTTATTAATTTTCACATTTGTACACGGATCTAAGAAAAACAATTTTGTGCATTTTGCACATTAATTTAATTGAAAATGTACAAAATTATATATATAAAATATATAAAATATAATAAAATTAAATGCAAAGGTATAATAGCATAGTATAACACGCTGTATCCACTACATCCACTCATCGTTCCTATAAGACACAGTCGATACACGTTATGTGACATTTTTCATATTATTTATTGCATCGTTTATAAAAACGATAAACAAAAACAAAAAAGATATGGGGAACACAGACGAACCTGTTTTTACCTGTGCTTTCTGTTCCAGTAATATGCAGAAAAAAATGTCACTAGTTATGTCACTAAATTTTGGATTACTTTAATTAACCATAATTAATACTGATTAATTGCAATCGTGAATATTTATAATGAATTGTAATTTCCACAGCTTCCCAGTGAATAATCAGAAGCCCTAGTCGTGTGACCAAACAGAACCTTTCTTTTGTGAGGCATTCAGAAAGGTACAGTAGGAGACAGAATCCTTTCTGTGTCTAAATGATGGATGGTCTTTGGTGGCTCTTTGTGGGCTGTTCACTGCTGACTTTATTGTCCAGTGTGAGTCCAGAGTGTTTAAAGCTGTCAACCTCTTCACTAGTTTCATTGTTGATCAGAGCGGGTCTCAGGAGCCGTGATAGGCTGAAAGTGGCCTTTACTCCAACACTGGGCATTTTAACAGGTTTTACCATTGACATTCACAACAGTTTTGTGCAGTTCTTGTGATTTCAAATAGTGCATGTGTGCGACATTATTTGTGTGCGTATGTGTGTGTCCTTTGCAGGTCCACAGTCTTATCTTTGGTACGTCACTCAGAGCTGGTGAAGGCGCCATCAGTTGGATGCAAGGGGCAAAGGAGAAAAAACAAAAAACTGGACAGAAAGTTCTTCATTTGAAAGCAAGTCAATTTAAGCACACACACACGCACACACACACACAGAGGCCATCATTATTTGGACTTGAGTCCTAAGCCGTTTTAACGAGTGGCATTTAAATAAGTCAAACCTGTTTACAGATTCCCAGTTTTTTATAGACCTGCATTCACGACAGTAGTGGATAATAAAAGCAGCAGTGTGCTGGGCTGGATGCTGAGTCAGTGCCGTCAGCTCATCTCACTGCTGATACACTTCACTTTATGTGCAAGAGCAGCTAAAGTGAAACTTTTTCTCCGTATATAAAATGAGTTCATGGTGAAGTTTGCTGTCAGTGGGGTTAAGCATTTAATATTATAACGCTTAAATTTAGCAGGGAACATATGGCAGAGAGCTACGATTGGGTCAACTAATTAAATTTGAAACACACTTATCTCCTATCTAGTGGCGATCCACACTTTCCCGTCAGGGATAACTGTAGGCCAGTATCCTCAGCTTCTCCTGGAGGCATTTATTCCTCTTCCCCTCACTGTACTGTCTGTAATCTGTTGAATCTGCATTCACTCAGGTGGCTTTGATTTATGGTTCACCTGCTTAAAACTCTGCTTCAAGTGTTGACATTTACTAAGCCCTGCTTCGCTGTATTTATCTGGGATTTATGTGAAGTTTTTTTTGTTGTTGTTGTGGCTGACTGATCCTGCTTATTCCAGAACAGTCAGAATATTACATGGGTTCGAGGCCAATTTAAAAAAAATATTATTCTGAAATTAGCACAGTTTATTGTTTCTAGAAAATTAGAATTACAGGAAGGGTGTGTGTGATGTAGTGACTGTACCGTGTGTGTTAAAGTCTGTTGTGCACTGTGATAATCTTACAGTTTATGCTACAATTTAATCTTAGTTGAAAATCTTTGGTTAGCTGACTTAAAGACTCGGTAAATTACCTAATTAATGGTTGATGTTTTTCAGTGGTGCCTTTTGGTCCTTGAAAAAAAGTAGAGTGACAGCATTTTATCTCAAGAAGTTTTTTTTTGTTGTTGCAAAGACAATAGGTTATAAGTTATAAGATTCACTCTGAACTTTTTGGACAGTGACGTGTATATTGAAAGCTAGACGTAATTTTCACAGATTTCGGGGTTAATTGATTTAGTGAGATTTGCATTTAATACCTATTGATAAGAGTTAAAGTGTTATGTACAACCACAACCATAAAGACTGTCTGAGTTTTTGCTAGTTTTTTCCCACTGCCCGAAAAATTGACCATAAGTATAAATGCAATAGTTGGAGTTTTTCTAAATGCTGTTTTAGTGCAGCCCTCCTCTTGGACTGGACACCACAGTTCTAAGTGGATTTAAAAACGCTGGAATCTTGGCATTTACCCTGATGAAACTAAGAAACAATTGCCCTAGAAAAGATCCCAATCAAGGAGTTAATGCACTCTGATAAACACCACGGCACATTTCCTGTTGTCTCCTAAACAGCTGACACTTTAAGTTAGTTAAAGTAACTGACTTAAAGTGTCAGCTGTTTAGGACACAACAGGATTTTTGTCATTAATAAATGTATATTTATTGACATTTTTTGAAGTTGAATGATGTTTGTGCTTCCTTGTGCTGTAACTTCAGGAGAAGCTGTTGGGGGATGTTCACAGTCTGGACAAAGGCCTGATATACAGGGCTTTACGTGATCCCACCAAAGCAGCCCACAGATATGCTCTGCTCAGGCTCATGTCGCAGGCTCTGGGCCTCAGGGAAGAGACAGGAAACCAGGAAGACACCGAGCAGCTCCTTAAGGAAGCAGAGGTCAACTACAAACAGATAATCTGTTCATTTTCTTTCTAAAACCAATTTTTTAAAAAGTGTGGAAATCAGTTATATTACTTGTGAGACTTCCAATTAAAAAAGAATTTGTATACTAATTACTGTAGGCAACATTTGAACAGGACCAAATGTTACCTTTGTGGGATAAGTTGCCTTTATCTCTGCAGAAGGAAGGGCTTTGATGCAGCCTTCTAAGGTTAAAATGATGTCTGGCCTCACTGTAGATAAAACAGTGTTCAAAAGGAATTCCAGCTGTTTTTGAGTTTGGCAGGGAAAAGAAAAGTCCTTTCAAATGCCTGCCGACTCAGATCATGGCTGCTTTGTCCATCTTCAGAAGGGTTGTTTTCCAAATGGGGGAGAGGGGGGGGGGGAGTGAAACAAACTCAGCTTCTGATCCTGATGCTAATGTTGTGCAAGTTTAGTTCTTAATATATTTAAATTGACCTGTGTCCTTCAGAGAATACCTAGTAATCTAATGTTATACATATGTATTTTACTAGTTCCAAATAGCAAGTCAGCATAATTGTTCTACTGTATGAGTTAATTAACTGTGGTATTGATTTTGACTATAACTCTACTGAGTCAGAAATTGCATCACATATTAGTATTCCCGAAAATGACCTGGTACCATTCATTAACAATAAAATGGATTTTGTCTTTATGATCTCCGTTCTTCCTCAGGGAATCCTCCTGACTGGACCTTTGCTTGAGAGCCTCACCTGTGAAGAGGGCGGGGCCAGTGACATCACCAACATCCTTCTGGTGCCTGAAAAGCAGCAGCCAACACTGGAGGCCTATCGCGGCGTGTTGTGCAGTGGAGTAAAGAGTCAGAGAGCAGAGCGATTCAGACAGTTGAGTCTGAAGCTGAGAGAACAGATTGATACACGCAGAGTCATGGAGCAGGTACAGGAGTCAGGAGTCACCCTAGTACTTCATGTTCAGTACCAGTACTTCATGATCTCACAGTTCTGCATCCTCACATCAACGGGTTCTATGGTTTTCTCTGGCTGTTTGTTTGTACCGTAGAGATTTATTTTATTACCTTGTTGTTTCTCCAGGCAAGTTCAGACCCTGATTTCAATAATTTAAAATTAATATTTTAAGCTTTTTTAAGAAAAAAATCAAAATATTCCACTGTAAAATAATTTTGGACACTGGAGCAAATTTATCTATTTGTCTCACTTTATCTTCTTTACCCCAAAATGCTCCAGCTCTATCTTGACCCACCCAACTCTGGATCGCCTCTCTCTCAGTCTCATCTTGGGGCCTTGTTGAAAGACCTGGCCGACATAGAGAGGCTGCTGAAGGACGTGGACCTTCTCTCCGGTCTGGCCCGTCTGCTGCCCAAAGGAGCCTGTGCCGGTCGATCCCCAACCTCCCCCGCAAACCTGACTTGGCCTCTTAATGTCACCATTTGGGGTCCAAATACGACTGACGTGCCCAGGGAGGAGGCTGAGAAAGGAACTGAGGGAGGGGAAAAAATAAGAAGAGAGAAAGAGAAGCAGGAAGCAGAAAACCCTCATTCTCAGTTTTCAGCATTTGTACAACTGTGGGCCGGGCTGCAGCCTATTCTGTGTGGGAACAACAGGTGGGTGAGTCACAGCTGCAGCTAAATAAAAGCTACAGTACAATGATATCATAGTGGGAAATGCTTCACTCTTTTGACTGTGGAGAAAAAAACGAGAATCCTGAAATGCAGCACGATTATTGACAGTGAAGCTGAACTTCATGTACTGCCATGTTGGATGTTACAGGATCATTGAGCCAGAGGCATTGAAGCAGGGGAACATGAGTTCGTTGGGCTTCACCAGCAAAGAACAAAGGAACCTGGGCTTACTAGTCCACTTGATGACCGCAAATCCCAAGATCCTCTATTCTCCTATTGGCTCCGAGGTGGATAAAGTGATTCAAAAGGCAAGTTGGAAGCTCTTCCAGATATGAGTCTCCTCTGGCAATGATTCAACACCTCAACCATTTGGTGTGGCCCCACATGTGGCCCATGGTGTAGAAAAGCTAACCACCTCTGTGCCAAAGTTCTACATCCCATGTTAAATGGAGGACCGGGCTATTAGATCATTTATAGTTTCTTTTTAAAAAAATTTTATTCAGCATCAACAATATGTTACATAGATACAAATATAGAAGAGTCACAATGTCCGCCTTTATATCTGAATCCCACCCCCAACAAAAATATGTAGGACACCAGTCTGGAATAGATACTAAGAGAGTGAAATAAAAATAAATAAATGAGGAAATACCTATATTTCCATTTCATTTACAGTACAATTTCATTCAATTTTGACTCCAATAGATTGCCAAAAATAATTTGGAACATCTTCCAGTTGTTTTGAGGGAGAAGCTAATGAGATGGATACAGTTAAATCAATAAAATACATAAAGATGTGGGGAAACATATGTATATATGTACATATATATTACATATATACATATATATTATGTATTGCCAAATTATAACCATGGCCAGAATTTCACATGGCCATATTCTCTGTCTTTTCATAATATATGACCACGTGTATCCTTAGCACATTTCAATTAGAACTTCATTTGTTCAGGAAACACAGTCACAGGAGAACAGTAATAACATAGACCCACTTTGATATTAATCCCTTCCATGTGTTTCTCAATAAGTGGCCATCAGTACAATCAGCCACTGATTATCTGTTAGTTAGCGCAGACCTTTGATACCAGCTGCTGCTTATAGACCTCCTGTATGTGTGATGGGCTTAATGCAATTACGGCAGCAGATACAGATAGGGATGGATGGATGATGGAGGTGGAGAGAGAAGTGGGAAACAAGTTTGATCTAAAAGATTTTTTTTTCTCCTCTCAGGCAAATGAGACGTTTGAATTTGTGGGGAACTTGACACACTACACCAAGGTGTGGCTCAATATCTCAGCTCAGCTCAGGACGTTTCTGGAGGAGGGACGTCTGCACAGACACCTGGTGTGGCTACAGCAGGTAAACATCAGTTACCATTTTTTTTTACAGGTTTGTGTTGCCATTTTATCACCTTTTTCGACCAGTAAATAGCTGTTTATTCACAGACAAATGTTTGAAAAACAAAGAGGTTAAAGGTCACCTGGCAAATTTCTTTTGCTCTCTGACTCTTAATATCAATGTTGCAAGACTAAAATCAAACACTAAACTCAACAAATAAAAAACGCTAAATAAACTTAATAAAAACAGCCATACAATATAAAAAATTATATATATATATATATATATACGGTATATATATACGGTATATATATACGGTATATATATATATATATATGTATATATATATATATATATATATACATGTTTAAATATGTAAACAAAACTCCATGTAATCAGTGAATGGTGCGTTTCCAGTGGTATGATACCTCTTTGTTTTAGGTCCTCTTCTGTTAACCTCAGAAGAGGTTTTACTGATATAGTAAAACCTCACCTGTTGTGTTTAAATTCCCTTTTAAACCGAATAATTACCAGTATCCACATCAACCAACAATTACTGTTTCACTGATGTGTTCATAATTGTCCTGCTGCTCAGCTGTCCTCGGAGCTGCAGCAGCATCCTGAGCTGCTGAACGACACCGACAGTGAACTGATGCAGAGTCTGATCGAAGGAAACTATAGCATCCCCAACACCTCCACCCTGCTGGAGCAGCTGGACACTATTGACAACGCCGCCTGTGGCTGGACACGCTTCATGTCTAAGGTAAGGAGGGTAAAGAACGGTTCTTTACTACAGCTAAGGGACAAAATACATTATTTGATTTTTTCTCTCCAAAATTCAATTTGTACATTGAGGAGGAAAAGTATTTCTTTAAGTTTAAGTTGGGTTTTTAATAGAACTTCATCTCCATTATGGGACATTTCAGGTCAGTGTGGACGTCTTCAAAGGTTTTCCTGACGAGGACAGCATTGTCAACTATACCCTCAACCAGGCCTATCAGGACAATGTCTCCGTGTTTGCCAGTAAGACTTTTCTGTTTTGACCACCAGTCAATCTACTCACAGACTTAAGTTAAAAAATGTTAGACAAAGGTTGACATAATATGAACTAAATGCAGCAGCACACTAGAAAACCTCGGCTGTGCTTGGTTACCAGATCAATAAGTGGGCCATTTCCAAACCTCTGTCAGACAGAAGTATCTTTACAAAGTCGAGGATATCACTCTATGTAGTGGGAAAGGAACAGGGCTATTTCAAACCCCTGCTACTCATTTAAAAACATATTTCCAGTTTTCTGCATGAGTAACCAGCAGGAAACTAACCCGCTGCACTGTGTCCACTCCGTCGTTCCAGGTGTAATTTTCCAGACCAACAGGGATGGCTCCCTGCCGCCACATGTTTTGTACAAAATTAGACAGAACTCCAGTTTTACGGAGAAGACCAATGAAATCCGAAGAGCATACTGGCGTCCAGGACCGAACACCGGAGGGAAATTCTACTTCCTCTATGGCTTTGTGTGGATTCAAGGTAGATGAATGATTTTTTTATATAACAGTTATGGTTATACTGCAGTTCTTGTGTGCTGTAGATCCAGGTGCAGACACAGATGCAGAGGGGGAAAACACAGAGAGAAAAAACACCACCACAATGTCAAGTGCATTATTAGGAGTTATTCTGCTAAAGTGCTTATTGCTGTGCACTTGTGAATATGTCAGCATGAGCTGCAGCCGGAGCACTTTCAGTGAAAAGCAAAAATTACTCAGAGAGCGTGACGTAAAAGAGCTATTGAAGAGGCTGAACACATCTGTGTTTTTTTGATTGTTTTGGTTTTTTCGTGAAGAACATACTCAAACTTGGTATTTTCTGTACAAATTATGGTGTTTTTGTACCAGAAGGCACTTGAAACATAGAGCTCTTATAATGCTGAAATGATCACAATTGGTTTAATTAAAAAATGCATGACCCCCACGCTCCACCAGATGATTCTAAATGCAATACTGCCTTGTCACAACACCCCTAATGAAAGGAAAGGTAGAAGAACCTCAATGACATATTGCTCCCTCTCCCTCCCTCTCTCTCCTTCTTCTCTGCAGATATGATCGAACGAGCCATTATTAACACGTTTGTGGGACATGATGTGGTTGAGCCTGGAAACTATGTTCAAATGTTTCCTTACCCATGTTACACCAGAGATGAGTAAGGAGTGTGTTTCATATAGATGTCTATGTATTACTGTTATGTATACTGTTTTAATGTTAAGAATATATAACGCAATTTAATCACTGGGTTTTATCATTAAAATCAAACCTCTACCTGATTTCCTGACTGATTTGTGCATTTCTGTGTGCCCTCACCCACAGTTTCCTGTTTGTCATCGAGCACATGATGCCTCTGTGCATGGTCATCTCCTGGGTTTACTCCGTGGCCATGATGATCCAGCATATTGTAGCTGAAAAAGAACATCGACTAAAAGAGGTGAGCCTGTCAACACTCTGTTGTTTGTACCCTGTGCTCCCCTAAGAGCCATGTGTCCTTCATAAATGTGTCAGACTTTTTGTTTTCGTTCCGCCAAGTCGTGGCCCTGTTGGAAACTCAGTCACGGTGTCGCAAATTTTCCTGTCACTTTCAGGTGATGAAAATGATGGGGTTGAACAACGCGGTGCACTGGGTTGCCTGGTTTATCACCGGCTTTGTGCAGCTGTCCATCTCCGTCACCGCTCTGACGGCCATCCTGAAGTATGGCCGAGTGCTCCTGCACAGTAACCCCTTCATCATCTGGCTCTTCCTCACCATATACGCTGTGGCCACCATTATGTTCTGGTTAGGAATTCTTTTACAACATCAGTCAATTGTTGGTTTAGTCAGTCAATTGGTCATGAAGTTGGTTTTTGAATGAATAAACGCAGTGTAATACCTCTGATGGTGATTTTGAAGCCGTACATTTAAACAGCAGCAGCAGTTTGCCAAGATTGTTGCACAGTGGGGTGGACGTCAGTGTGTCATTGACCAAAACAGCCTTGTTAACTCCTGACATTTAAAGGCAAGAGAGAATTTAATCTGACTGACGCTGACAAATGACTTCATCTTCTTCGAGGCAACTTCAGTCAAAGCAAGCAATATGACTCTAAGCAACTGTGATGTCTACTGTCTATGAAAACAAAAGCTTGATTCTGGCTAGGTGACCACTTTAACATACAGTAGGAACTGCGACAAATAATAAATCACTGATATAATGTTGAGCATGTGCATTTGTATCATAATGTAAACATCCCAATATAAAAAATATAAACAATTTATCTAGTTTTTCCATTATCTTTGTCTTAAGAAAGTGTGAGTGAGGAGACGATCTTCACAGCCAGGATCAGTTGCCAAGTAAATTTGACGCACAACTGTCTCTCAGTCATTTTTTTCAAATAGCAGTGACTGTAGACTGACGGCTACTGTAAGACAAAATCAATTTCCTGTGACTAATGAAAAGGCTGGAGATAAACCACATGGCTCACTTTAGCAGAACATCTCACTTCACTCTCCATGACAGCGATCTTAACTAATGGAGCTGTTTGTGCTATCAATTAAATAACAGTCTGGTCTCTTCACAGTTTGTTTTGTGCTGTATGTATGTGTCATTGAGAAAAAGAACTCTCTTCTTACTTTTTCCATTACAAACAAAAGCCCTCAATTGTGAACAAAAATGTCAAAAAAGTTAAAAAAAATTATTTGTCTTTACTACGTGTTTCCTTTTGAAACAGTATTTTCTCTGATTTTCTGTAGGGTGTCATCATAGGGACACAGTTAATCCTAGTATTTGCTTTTTTTAAATTTAAATAACCGTAAAGTGATGCCTCAGATTTAAACTGCTGCATCGATGTCTGTTTTTTCAGCTTTTTGGTGTCAGTAATCTACTCCAAAGCCAAGTTGGCCTCAGCCTGTGGTGGAATCATCTACTTCCTGAGCTATGTGCCCTACATGTATATAGCCATCAGAGAAGAGGTGGCCCACGACAAGATCACTGCTTTTGAGAAGTGCATTGCTGTAAGACCTTTAGCTTTTCTTTGTTTTTCCCCATTTGTTGAAAAGAGTTGCTAACTCTTTGTTCTAAAAGTTTGGTCCAATCAGAAAGAATGACTTGATTATCTTTGTCCTTCACATCCACTTTAGTCTCTGATGTCCACCACCGCCTTTGGGTTGGGATCCAAGTATTTTGCGCTGTATGAAGTCGCAGGTGTGGGAATACAGTGGAGGACCATCAACCAGTCTCCAGTAGAGGGCGATGACTTCAACCTTGGTCTGTCAATGATGATGCTCATCATCGATGCCAGTGTGTATGGTGTTCTCACCTGGTACATAGAAGCTGTGCATCCAGGTGTGAAATCACTTCAAACTAATCTCAAATATAAGGTTTTATAGGTTTAAATATATTAGGTAAAAAATGTGTTTTTACTGTTTATTACAGGTATGTACGGACTGCCGCGTCCATGGTACTTCCCACTACAGAAATCCTACTGGTCTGGCAGTGGACGAATTGAGACCTGGGACTGGCCCTGGTGTGGAGGAGGAGCTGCCAGGCTCAGTGTGATGGAGGAGGACCAGGCTTGTGCTATGGACCATAGGAGATCAGGTCTGAGAAAGGAATCAGTTCATGTTACTGCCACTTTAATTTGGGTTCAAAAATGAATTATTGCTTGGCCATACTTTATAAACACATGACATAAATAATTATGCAGTTAAGAACATTCATTTTTAGATTTGGAAACACATTTGGGACCTTAATTATTATGTTATGAGATTTCTTTTTAAAAAGGTTTATTTTGTTAGGTTACAGCCAATCAACAGTTTCTATTGACATTTATTTCTCTCTAACTTCTTTTTACATTAGAGGAGATGAGAGGCATCGAGGAGGAGCCGAGCCACCTGCCGTTGGTCGTCTGCATTGACAAACTTACCAAAGTTTACAAAACAGGCAGCAAACTGGCCCTCAACAAACTAAGCCTTAACCTGCATGAGAACCAGGTGGTTTCCTTTCTGGGACACAATGGTGCTGGCAAGACCACAACCATGTGAGAAGATGGTTTTTAACGCCATTCCAGTTAAATCAATGTTTTCTCCTAGGTCTACAACATCTGACCCTGTATGAAACCCCTCTAGGTCCATTCTGACCGGCCTCTTCCCACCGACCTCCGGCTCAGCCACCATTTACGGTCATGACATCCGCACAGAAATGGAGCGAATCCGCCAGAACCTGGGCATGTGTCCGCAGCACAACGTCCTGTTTGATAAGTTGAGTGTGGAGGAGCACCTGTGGTTCTACTCCAGACTCAAAGGCATGGCTGAAGAAGACATCAGGAAGGAGATGGAGAAGTCAGTACCAGTACCAATGTCTCAGTGTAACTATTATAATAATAGACATATTATTATTATCATTATCATTATTAAGGATTCACCTCTTTTTCTGCTACATCTAGACTTGTGTACAGAGATCTCCACCCTTCCACTTTATTTTTAGCAGGTTACGATCTAATTATCACTTTAGTGATTAGTCCTTGTTATTTCATGTTTCCCTAATGCACTAAGAATTTTTGTTTTAATTAAATACTCATTCAAATATACATTTGAGGTGCTTAAAATTCTGGTTGTGACTTGGGAATATGTGAGTCCTGTTCTGAATGGCCTCAGTTTTGCTGGATTTGTTAATTAGTAATTTCATCAGAACAACAGAGTATGTTTCACTACTCTTTCCTCTGCTGCTGTCAGTGCCAAACCACACAGACCTGGTTACATGTCTTCAGTTAAACACTGTTGGTTTAGTGGTTTAGCATTTCCTGGCCAGGTGTCTCTCACTTGTTGTCTTCCAAAGTCTTAAGACATGTCTGTTGAACAGTATTCACAGTCTCAGGGACAGATCAAAGGATGTTGTACATCTCAGTTTTAAAATTAATTCTCTTTTATCATCCTTCATTATCCACCAGCCTCAAGGATGTTTTCCTGTAGAAAGCGGACGAACACAAAAACTTTACATCCACGTTATTCTTACGTTCCACCTCATCTAAGTGGACATCGCTCAGAACACCAGTTTTGTGTGGACCTGGCTCTTCCTCTTCATTTCTTTTAGTTTACCCTTAGACACTGTGTGATTCGTGTTGTCACTGGTACACACGTTTAAAATACATAAATCAACAACTGACTTTGTTCTCTGTATTTGTGTGTGTGTGTCCAGGATGATTGTAGATCTAGAGTTGTCAAACAAGCGTCACAGCTTGGTGCAGACATTGTCCGGTGGCATGAAGAGAAAGTTGTCTGTGGCCATCGCCTTTGTCGGTGGCTCCCGGGCCGTCATCCTGGACGAGCCCACTGCAGGGGTGGACCCATATGCCCGCCGGGCCATCTGGGATCTGATTCTCAAGTACAAACAGGGTGAGTGTGACCTGAACAGCACCAGAGAACAAGCCTGCGTTTTAATCTTCCCTGTCAAAAAAAAAGGGTATTTGGTGCAAGGTTGTTTGGGAGAAAACAAAGTAATGATACATTATTTAAAAATGTAAAATGACCTTCACTGCAAATCTTCCATACCAAATAGAAATCAATTAACATCATGCAGAGAGGGAGGCTGTCTGGAGGAAAACTAGAAACATTTTGTTTTTACGTCTGTAGTTTTTAACTGAAGGTCCAAAGGTGATTGGTAACTTACATCATTACTGTAGCTTGTTGGCTTCAACTGCCCTTCCCCAAATATTTTACTTTAATATTGTAATTGTATAGTGGCTACAGTACACCAAGCTGTCTCCTCCTATCAGCATCCTGCTCTGGAGTGACAAGGTCGCATCCAGGAACACTAACACATGGATGTGGATTGCATCATTAGTTGCAGACATAACACTTATCCTGTAGAGATTTAGAGTTATAGAGTGATAATTGTAGCACACACCAGCTGCTCAGTGTGGGTGGTGCCTCTGTGGCAGGTCGCACCATCCTGCTGTCCACCCACCACATGGATGAAGCAGACCTTCTGGGGGATCGAATTGCCATCATCTCCCACGGGAAGCTCCAGTGCTGCGGTTCTCCACTCTTCCTGAAGAGCACCTACGGTGATGGATATAAACTGACACTTGTCAAAAAGCAGAGCGAAGGCAGAGGTATGTGAAGGCAAATCAGTTAGTAGGAATTACTAACACTTTAAACCACTAACAGGCAGAGTAAATCTTAACTATTTAATGATACCGTAATCTAATTCTGAATATTTGATGTATATATACAGCATTCACTGGTAGCAAAATAGAGCCAGTAGGTGGCACTAATTCAGCTGACATAGTACAGGACTGCAGTAAAAACCCAAAGAAGAAAAACAAGGATAGGACAGCAGTAATAGCTGAAGTGTTCCTATTATTGTTTAGTGACAAAGTTATAAAACTTCTCGCTCTGCTGTTGAAGATGTGCATCAATGATGCCCTGTCATATATTTCATAAAATTATGATATGAACATCCAACAAACTTTGTTGAGCATCTCAGACATCGTTGTCCATCATTGCACATGTCCCTCTTACTGTCAGACCAGGACATCCAGCTTCAGCCTCCTTCTTCTCTGTCGCCATCCTCTTCGCTGTCGCCATGCTCAGAGGCACGAGTCACACAGTTTATTCGACAGTACGTGGCCTCCTGCCTGCTGGTGTCCGACTCCAACACCGAGCTGTCCTACGTCCTCCCCTCAGAGGCTGTGAAGAAGGGCTGCTTTGAGAGGCTGTTTCAGGTACACACACGCACAGACATTTCTTTCACAGCATTTTTGTTATAGACCAGATCGGTCTCCCTGGCAACAACAGACATGCCTCATTAAAAATAAATAAATTACCTTTTCCTCATTGATTCCGATGCTCTCACTGGTAATCTTGACTTGTCTATTGATGTAGAAAAATAAGACACTTCAAGCTAATGTCAAATGATGAAAGTTGCTTTGAAAATAAGGGTTATAAGAGGCTTGTCATTTCTGTTCACTTTGGTTTGTTATTGGCTGTGTGACTCTCCAGGCCTTGGAGCAGAGCTTGGACAGTCTGGCCTTAACCAGTTTTGGAGTCATGGACACCACCCTGGAGGAGGTGTTCCTCAAAGTGTCTGAGGAAGACCAGTCTCTTGAAAACAGTGATGCAGGTAAAAAAATGTCTCTTTTCCACACCTCCAAAGGTTTTAGCTGCATGATTTGCTTCATTACCTATTTCGGGAATAGTAGTTGCTCAAAGTATGAGTTCTCTTTGTCATGCCGTCTCTCTTCTGGCCACTGAGCAGACATGAAAGGTTCCCCAGGGGGCAGCTCAGTGGGGAAATCCTCGGTGGGTTCAGGAGGAGGTCCTGGGGAGTCACAGGTTGAGACCATTACATCAGTGGAGGTGGAGAAACCAGAGGTAGAGCTGACTAATCTGGTCAAGTGTTCTCTGCTGACCCAGAGTCAGTCCTCCCTCAAGTCTTCCTCATCTGTGGGCTCAGTGAGAGGGGACGAAGGGGGGCTGCACTTAGACTTCTACGGCGACTATTGTCCACTCTTTGACAACGGCCAGGAATCAGACTCTGCCAGCGTCAGAGGTGAGGATTTGTCAAACTGCCCCACCCCCAGTGCTTCCTGTTTGTTTGTTTTTTTCCTTTGGGTTTTGACAACAGCTTTACATTGTCAATCGGTGTGAAACCATGTCCACACAACCAGGTGTGAAAGAAAGTAAAACATAGAAAATATGGACAGAGGGTCGTGTTGTGACAGAGAAACATGTCACATTTTGCTTGAAGTGGCCAATTTGAATGAACAATGTTTAGGAACCTCAAATATTTCATTCGTCTCAGCCTTTGGGTGCCATCGGACAGCTGTGATAAACTAAATATTTACTATGAAAAATATGGCATTTCAGGATGGTGAAACTGCATCACCATTGAGGCTCCTTCTTTTACTTACCAGAAGAATTTCAGAAGGTTTACTATAATCTCCTGCTGGTTTTTGGTGTATTGTTGTTCTAATAACATAGTGCAGATAGTATCAGTATTGACATTTTTAAATGTATTTTCCACATCACCAGATGCAGAAATCCCCCTGTCCACAGAGGTTGGGGAGGGACAGGGCAGCTTCAAGTTGGACGGCTGGTGGCTGAAGCTGAGTCAGTTCCACGGCCTCATTGTGAAGAGGTTTCACTGTGCCAAGAGGAACACCAAGGTCCTCTTCTCGCAGATCCTCCTGCCTGCTTTCTTTGTCTGTGTGGCCATGACCGTGGCCCTGTCGGTGCCTGAAATTGGTGAGCTGATGTGACCTGATCCCTCCGTGTTGTTCTACGTCTTTGCAACTGCTAAAAATCACTGAAAGTGTTGAGCTCTTACAGATGACAGCTCATTAGAGCTGGCATCGTTCTGAGGGCTGACATAATGAATCGCCCTCATCCAAGTATGAATCAGTGTGTAATTACTGTAGTGGGCTGTAATTAAGATCAGCAGGACTCCTGCCCCCGAGGACAAGGCTACAACAGCAGAGATTCGTCGAGCAATTACCGAGTTTAAAGGATTCTTTAAATATAATTCAGACAAGTCCTGTGCTGAATATGCTAAAAATAATATAAGTTCTGTAAGGTAGTCTCACAAAGCTACCAAGATATATGAATGGGTAACTGATTGTTGACTTTAACCTCCTGGTTATTATGGTTATTTCATTTCCTTTCTTACTCAAGACTTTAGTAGGAATTCAAAATTAGTATTCAAAATTAGTATTTCTTTTGAAACATTTTGTTTGTTTATTTTTGTCAGTTTATGTTTTGATGCATTCACATTACATAAAAATATGGAATGTCAAAATTACATTGGGTAGAATGTGAATATTTCTATATTGACCATTCCTATGTATTTCTGATAGGAATGTTCTGCAGATTTTGAATGATAAAATCTGATACTTTGTAATTCACCATACCAGGTTCAAGTCAGCAACTTGAACCTGATACGGTGAATTACAAAGTACCGAATGACAAAGTAATACATAAACCAAATATCTACCTTAAGAGCGATTCAGTCTGTGTGAAGATTCTGAGTAGGTTTGTGTGCAACAGGACTAAATATTTTCTTTAAAGAGGTTTTTTTTTTATCCAATAATATTCTCTAGTTCTTACTGCTCAGTGGGATATTCCAGGTTATTATTCTCTAGTGGCTTGTTTAAATATTTGGTTTAAAAGTTACAGTATTATGTCATTCATTCCTCTCAGTCAGACGTAAACTGCAGCTAACACCCTGGCAATGATACATATAGTTAAAGACCTGCATAAGACTTGGGTTTTCAGCACAAAGAGGAAAGGAGAAATTTCTAGAGCAGGGGACTCTAGCTCAGGTTTTCAGTCAGAACTGAAGTATTTTGGACGAGAGAAAAACCTCTAAAAATCCAGTTTCTTTCTTCTATTCATTTATGGTTTTTTTCTTTTCTTGATACTTCGTACTGTAACTATAAATATTATGTAACTCACATGACACAAACAACATATTAAGCAGAATCAGAGCTACGCTAACATTCTTCTCCTTGTCATATTCTGCCACCTGGCAGATGTGAGTCCTCTTTTTAGCTCTTAATTTGTCTCCAGCAGGTCATGAAGCAGGAAAAAAGCTGACTTTATTTTTACCAGCTGGTCTGGAATTGTGTCTGTGTGCTGTTTTATGTGGACTGATGCACATTAACTGTATATATAAAGGTTGTTTTCTGATCCTGATCCTGAGCTGCTGTTAACGTCTGTTCTGAGGGATCGGTTCCCAAATGAACAGTGTGAAAACAATTGACTTTTTCTGGCTTCACCAGCACTGTAATGCACACTGACATCACAGATGTCCAAAGGAATCATCGACTGAATAAACTGATGAACTGTTACAATAAGACAGTAATACAGTAGGTAAAAATACTGAGAATTTAGCTTATGCTAAGTTAACATATAATTCTAGTCTAAATAAAATAGAAACCAATTGTAAGAGTGTAAAAAGTGTCAGATAACTTAATTATTAATTAATTAACTATTAATGTGGACACTAATGAAAGAAAAACATAAAAAACATATCCTTGATGCTTGCTCCAAAAATAAGTCTTCTAACACCTACAAAAGTGATTCTCTGTATCGATATTGCCTTAAAAGGCAAAACAAATCAATTAAAGCTTTTGTTCTCTCTTCTTAAGTTCTTATCAAGTGCTCTTCTACACAGCAAGGACTTTAAACATAGTATTTCATTTATTATTTTGTTTAAATTTCAGCTATTTTGTGAAATCATTTATGACAGCCATTGTCATTGTCCTTAATTGCCGACTAGACAGAACAGACATGCAGGTTTGGAGTCAACAGCTCTGTTTCAGGGAACTCTTTCGGTGTTACAGATGTCACCCTTCAGTTTCCAAACCACTATAATAATGGCTGGATGTCAGGCTCCTCCAGCCCAAACATTGAAATGTCACTGAGCAAATACAGAACCTTTACACGGGCCCTGACAGCTGCTCCAGCAGAGTGTGGATGATGGATTAAAGAAGCTTTATTACAAAAATACCTCCATTGATTTTACGCTTCCTCAAAACTCATGCAACTGCAGTATTTTCTGTGCCAAAACATTTTAAATAAGCATTCTGTTTCTGTTCTGTCTCATAGGAGATTTGCCTCCACTCATCCTGTCTCCCTCTCAGTATCATAACTACACCCAACCTAGAGGCAACTTTATCCCCTACGCAAACGAAGATCGACCACAATACAGGTCAGATGGTACAAATAACTCCTCTGTGCATTTTGATGAATATTTTATTTATATTAAACACCATATCTCCTGAAACATTTTTCTACTGCTGTACAATACTCAGTCACTGTAGCAAAACTATTGTTTAAATGCCATCAGTTTATTGATTTCTTATAAATACAGCAGGTTTGTATGCATTTGATGTGAATAACTTTGAAGGACTCACACCTATATTACCACAAAACCAGTACAGTCTGGAGCTTATCTTTGACGTCAGTGCTTAAAACCCCACCAGAACAAATTGGCAAACTGTGAAATCCTTGTTCTTCCAGGAGCAAACTCTCACCGGATGCCAGTCCACAGAAGATCATCAACACCCTGCGTCTGCCCTCAGGTGTTGGTGCTACTTGTGTCCTCAAAACCCCATTCAACAGCACCCTGGACCAGTTGGCCCAGACCCTCAACCCGAGTGCAAACAACTCCAAGACCCTGGCCGCTCGCTACTTTGATTCCATGTGTCTGGACTCTTTCACGCAGGGTGTCCCGCTCTCCAACTTTGTCCCCCCTCCTCCATCACCAGCCCCTTCAGATGATCCTGATCCTCGATTTGAAGACGGACTGTGGAATTTCACAGTTGCTCCACCGACTACAGTCCGTGGTGAGTCTGTTCCACAATGTTGTCAAAAACAACCAAAAAACAACAAAAACTGAAAAACAAACTTTTGCTCGTCATAAGGTAATAACATGTAATTCCAACCTGTTATCTATAATATGATTACCTTTAAGAACCGGGGCCAGAGTTAAAAATTAAAAACTGACAACATGAATCTTCTACACAACCAGGATGAAAACACACTAGGTTTTCATTTCATTCATTTTTTATTAGCTAAGTTCTTTCTTGTAGTAATTTTAAAGTACATAATTTTTTTTGGAATAAATTAGGTAAAATAACCTTAGAAAACACTGTATGTTAAATGTTTGACAAACAGTGTTTGTAGAGTGCTTCTTGTGTTTTCCCACAGAATAATTAGATCTTCAATATGATAACGAATTAACGTAATGGAAATCTGAAAATGGGGCTCTCAGGTCTGAAAAGCAACTATTGGGGATAACGCTGGAATACCCAAAATGTGGTGTGTGCAATCCTGGGGTTGCATGAGCTGCCACTAGAGGATGCATGAGATTAAAAATGTAATGGTGGTTTGGAGAGCTTTTTAAGTAGAATGTTTCCACACTATTAAGATGTTTAAATAAAGATTTTCTCTGGAAAATTGAAAATCAAAAGCTGACATTTTAATGAATAAATAAAAGCAGATTATAAATGTGTGTTATATATATGTTGTGTTAACTTGAAGAAAGCTGGTTGTCTTTTTTTTTTTTTTTTTTTTTGAATATGTGGGGAATTTGGGGTGCATCAACCAGATTGAGCTATAGAGGGGGGTGCGTGGCCAGAAAGGTTTGGGAACTGCTGGTCTCACTGAGATAATGACAGCCAGACTATTACGTCTGGACCCAAAAGATCTTGTGTCTGTTAAAAACTTGTCTTGGACATGTTTTCACAGAGCCTGTGACCTCGCCTCCCACCCTTCCTCTCTCCATCCATGAGCCTGTTCGCTGCACATGCTCAATGCAGGGCACAGGCTTCTCCTGCCCCAGTGGGGTGGGAGGACGGCCCCCACTCATGAAGGTGGTGACGGGGGACATCCTGGTGGACATCACTGGCCGCAACGTCTCTGAGTACCTGCTCTTCACATCAGATAGGCTACGTCTACACAGGTGAAGTTAGAGAGACGGCAAAAAAAGTTTCAGATTTCTTTGCACTGTCAACAGATTTGTGCATTTAGTGGACAGTGAAAAAATCATTGGTAATGTGCTTTACCTACCCTATTGGAATATCTTCTAAAAACAACAGTATCCTGTGGTCTTTTAGCTCAAATGTCCCTTCAGTACACTGTTATTCTATTGATTTAACTGAATTAACTCATGTTGGCTTCTTTATCCTGGGTCCCTAATGCTCTTGAACCATCCCTGGTTTGATGTCATCATTTGATCATTTCATAGGTATGGAGGTTTAACTGTGGGGAACATCCAGAAATCAGTCCCAGCTTCCTTTGGTAGAAAGATTCCTCCAATGGTTCGTAAAATAGCTGTCCGCAGATCAGCCCAGGTAAAACATTACTTACATAAAAATCCAGAGTTTAATCAGTTTCAAAGCAAGTAAATGAAATGTTCCTCTTTCTGTGCAGGTTCTGTTCAACAACAAAGGTTACCACAGTATGCCCACGTACCTCAACGTCCTCAACAACGCCATCTTGAGGGCCAATCTACCATCAACTAAGGGCAATCCTGCTGCTTATGGTAATGCATAGAAATTACACTATCATTAATACGTTTGTTTTGTAGAGTTTTACACTAAGTTCAATCTGTGCATTTTGCAGGTATCACACTGACGAACCATCCAATGAACAGAACGAGTGCCAGTTTGTCGTTGGACTATCTGTAAGTTTCAAAATGTTTTATATGTATATATATATATATGTCTGATTGGTCTGATTAGTACAAACATCTGTAACGCAGCCAATCAGCTTTCAGATACATGGTACGACAAAGGCTGTGAATGGGATAAATATGAATGTATGCAGATAGTAATACAGCAAATAACGTTTTTTTACTAGGACAGTGAAGGCCTTTGCTGTTATTGGTGCTGTCTGATACAATCTGGTTACTTGTGATCAGTTTGTATAAAATGTCCCTACAGTGGGTGATGCAGGAAGGAGAGATATGGATGTAGATGACAAGAAAAGACAAAATTAGTAACCGCAAGTTTATTCAAAACAAGGTTTTGATTATTCTTTACTGCTTTGGTAATTGTTGTTTACTTTACTGTTTACATATGCTGACTGACCCAGTAAAAAGAATACAGTGACATTATGAAGTATTGTTTTAGACAAACAAGTAATAGAAATTCAATCTGTTAAGTTGACTTTTTGTGCATCCAGGCTGCAGGGGACAGATGTTGTCATTGCCATCTTCATCATCGCCGCCATGTCCTTTGTTCCTGCCAGCTTTGTGGTTTTCCTAGTTGCAGAGAAATCCACAAAAGCAAAACATCTGCAGTTTGTCAGCGGCTGTGACCCTGTGATCTACTGGCTGGCCAACTACATATGGGACATGGTTTGTAGAGAATTCTGAATGTATGGTTGCACCACAGAGTTTTCTCCTGGGTTTAAACGTGTCCTTTTCTCTTCATCTGTTTCTCCACAGCTGAACTACCTGGTTCCTGCTACGTGCTGTGTCATCATTCTGTTTGTGTTTGACCTGCCGGCCTACACCTCTCCAACCAACTTCCCTGCAGTCCTCTCCCTGTTTTTACTATATGGGTAAAACACCAAAATATGCTTGATAGAATGTAGTCATTGGCATCAATGCAGACTATTATTATTATTACAGTTTAAACATCTTTCTAGTTGTTAAGTTTTAGCCAGGAGATTTTTTTTTTTTTTTGAAGTTCGGGGGAGAAATTTGACTAAACCGACCCCAGATGTAACCGATCTGTCCGTCCGACCTCACACCACATGTATTTAACATCAATCATTGTGTCAAAGAGAACAACCTTCTCTCTAATTTCATACCTCACACTTCCTTACTAAACCACTGCTCTTCCCTCATTCAAAATCATCTCCTTATCTATCTATTTTACTTATGTTTCGGTACCTGTCTGTGTCTTTTATCACCCTAACCTGCTGTGTGTTCCATCCAGCTGGATGTCTCCTTAGATAATCAGTATAAAGTAAGATACTTCAACATTAGCTTAATATTTTAGCTGTAAATCACCGCAGGCTTGACAGAAAAGATGAATTGTTAATTTCCTTACTCAAAGACAAATTTCCCTGCTGAATATATGACGCAGAAATCATCAGCAGTGCTGGATCTCATGGGAATACAAAGTGTTCTGTATACAAATGTGACTTCACACAACATTAGTTTGCACATCCTCTCTGACTCTTTTAAAACTTTCTCTCCAGGTGGTCCATCACCCCCATCATGTACCCAGCATCCTTTTGGTTCGAGGTTCCTAGCACAGCCTATGTGTTCCTCATCGTCATCAATCTCTTTATAGGGATTACAGCCACTGTCGCTACCTTTCTACTTCAGCTCTTTGAACATGATAAGGTTAGTTTAATGTCACTTGAAAATTACCTCAACAATGCATATGGATGTGTCTTTGACTATTTTTGTCTCCTGATACTTTGTTTGCTTTGTATTTACCCCAGGATCTGAAGAAAGTGAACAGTTACTTGAAAACCTGTTTCCTAATCTTCCCAAACTACAACCTGGGCCACGGCCTGATGGAGATGGCGTACAATGAGTACATCAATGAGTACTATGCCAAAATAGGTACGTGATACAACCTCATCCCATATGTTTCTTTATATGTGATGCAGGGTCTTCCTATATGTTTGAATTAATTTTATGACAGTTTGACTAAGTATTTTACAACTGAAAACACAAACTAGTGACAAACTATAATTTTTTACACTTGTTTATTTGATTGATTTGTCTGCAAGGGGCAACATTTAAAAGAAATAATACTTCCTCTATTTTAACTGTTTTTTTCTGAAAACAAAGATTGTTACTTAAAAGTGAGGAATCATGTGTAATTTTTAGTTTATCTTTGGAGATTTGTTGTTTTTAATGTCTTTTATGTTTGTTTTGTTCAGGCCAGTTTGACAAAATGAAGTCTCCCTTTGAGTGGGACATCGTGACTCGAGGTCTTGTTGCCATGACTATTGAAGGCTTCGTCGGTTTCCTCATCACCATCCTCTGTCAGTACAACTTCCTCAGGAAACCATCGTGAGTAGTGCTTGTTACACTGCTGTTGCTTGTGTTGCATTAAAAGTGGATAATTTTACCATGGATTTCTTATAAACATACGTATTGATAAGGTAATTGTGTTAGATTTTTGTGACTCATTCATTGGCTCGGACCAAATAGCTGAAATCTAGTCATAAATGAATAAAGATTTGTGTCTTTATGTGAGATATGTGTACAGACAAAGGGGGAGTTAATAGGACACAAGGGAGGAGGATGGGTACTGACCACAGAGGGAAACACAGAAGGCAGAAACAGAAAGTAGGAGGTGTGGACACAGCAGGCAAGGAGTGGAGGACGTAGGAAAAAAAAAAGTTGTTTTTTTTAAACAGTTCACAGGGAAACAGTCAGCACTAGTCCATTTTAAAGGACTGTCATACATCAGTAAATGACTCTGAAGTTTAATGTTCATGTGTGGGTTTTCAGGAGGGTGCCAGTCAGCTGCCAGCCAATAGATGATGACGATGTGGATGTGGCCTGTGAGAGAAGACGAGTCCTAAGAGGAGACGCTAATAACGACATGCTGAAGATAGAAAACCTGACAAAGGTTTTATAGAAAATTACACTATTATGCTGTGCATTACATTGTTGTACAAACAGTGTTTATTTTAACCAAAATGAAACTTATCTACCCTTTTATCCGACTTCAGGTGTATAAATCCAGGAAAATGGGTCGGATCTTGGCAGTGGACCGACTCTGTCTGGGCGTTCGGCCTGGTGAGTGTTTTGGGCTGCTGGGAGTAAACGGAGCTGGGAAAACGACCACGTTTAAGATGCTAACAGGAGACGAGTGCACCACGGGGGGAGAGGCCTTCATTAATGAACACAGGTCAGTTCACACAGAAGCTGTTTGATGAAGGGTACAGGAAATCTCCTAGTACATACAGTAAGACACATAAGAAATTGAATAGTAAGTATTGCACTGAGACAAAATCATCCAATCACTAAAGAATCATGGCTAACAGAGAGAATCCGTGGCTGGTTATTTGCCTCCGCACCTGGACGACTTAACATTGTCCAGTAAAACAATAAACCCAGGGGTTTATTGAGAAATTCTTGAACATAACATTTTTCCCATTAGTCAGGCAACAGGTCAGACAACACAACAATGCAAGTTTGAGCACAAACGACTACAGAGACAGAAATGATTCAAACTCTGGATTTATCCAATCACAGACTTGTTGTTTGATAGAAATCTGCAGCTAGACCGTGAAGCAAATAGATATTCTCAATTTTTTCCCAGGCCCTCCCATCTGGATGACTTCTGAAAATAGAATTAGACAAACCTCTAAAAGTTGACTAAAAGAATAGTCACTGGCTACAAAATAACAATATTTGAAACAATGCTGAGGAAGATGTTTTCATCACAGCAATCAAAAGACATCACATACTTTTTCACATGTTAAAAAGTTGTTTTCTAGGTTAGACTTTTGAATAAAATAAAACTAATTTTCTCTGTCTGTGTCCATTACTGCTTTGTCTAAAGTATCTTGAAGGACCTGTTGCATGTGCAACAGAGTATCGGCTACTGCCCACAGTTCGATGCCCTTTTTGACGACCTCACAGCCAGAGAACACCTGGAGCTCTACACTCGCCTCCGTGGCATTCCCTGGAAGGACCAGGACAGGGTGAGACTCCATACGTCCAACAAATCTTCCAACAAAGACTCCAGCTTTACCTCGGAGTAATATTATCTCCCGACATATCACTGTACTCCCCTGTAGGTGGTGCAGTGGGCTTTAGAAAAGCTGGAGCTGGCAAAGTATGCAGACAAGCCTGCTGGAACATACAGTGGTGGGAACAAACGCAAACTTTCCACTGCCATTGCTCTTATTGGATATCCTTCACTCATCTTCCTGGTAAGTGTGTTGAGGTGGTGCTTCCATGACCAGTAGGCCCAGGATTAATGCTTGAACCTGGTATTCTCAGGCCATCTCCTATTTAAGTAGTAACCAGACTCGACCCTGCTGAGTTTAGCCAAGATCGTACATGTTTTAGGTGGTATGCTATGAGGGACAACATTTACTAACTTGCTCTGCTCAGCGCCACTCTAAGACTGCACCAGTCAGATCAACCCACTTAGCCTAGTAACCTGCTGTTGTACTACTAATGCAATTATCTGCACATTTTTATCAAAAACTATATGACTTATGGGTTTAAAAGTGTTCATGGGACTTAAACAATGTTGAGCTATATTTTCCAGTTTTAATTTTTTTCTTGAAGCAGCTAATAAATAGCTAGTTAACTGGTGCTTGTGGTATTTATCCATTCTGATAATAATGTCCTTGGATTGTTTTGGGTTCTTAGGATGAGCCCACAACTGGGATGGACCCAAAGGCCCGCAGATTCCTCTGGAATTTAATCCTGGACATCATCAAGACTGGGCGCTCAGTAGTGCTAACATCACACAGGTGACAAACCTGATTGAGATATGGGCTAGTGTATCTCTGAGTCATTTTAAGTACAGTGTACACAGAACACCTTTGTTATATTCTGCTGTTCTCTGCAGCATGGAGGAGTGTGAGGCTTTGTGCACCAGGCTGGGCATCATGGTGAACGGCAGGTTCAAATGTCTAGGCAGCATCCAGCACCTTAAGAACAGGTGAGGAGACAAAGAAATAAAAAACAGTTTTGTCACAGCTGTAAATAACATAGCGGAGGAATGTTTTTCTTCTGTCCCAGGTTTGGAGATGGTTACATGATCACAGTGAGGACCAAGAGCAGCTCCAGTGTGAAGGAAGTTGTTCGGTTCTTCAACAGAAACTTCCCTGAGGCAGTTCTAAAGGTACATCACTGCATGACTGTGGGAACCATTACTGCAGTGATTTCACTTGAGACTCCACCACTCACTGCAGAGCCGTGTGTCAGCTCAGGCTTAAATATTTAAAAAGATTCCATTCTCCATCAAGGACAATGAATCAGTGGAGCAGGGAGAGGGGGGTTACTTGATTCAACACAGGAGGAAAAAAACAAATTATGCTTTTAATAATTCGCTCCCTCCTTGTTTGTATTCTGCGTAGTCAAATGACTGGGTCGCAGTTATTAAATCCAAGATGCCTTTGTGTTTGTTTTAATTCAACATCTCGTCCAGACAGAGGGTTAGAGGAGCAGTGTAAATATTATCTTCTCACCACCGCTACACAGATTAAAACTTCAAAAGTCATCGAATTCTAGCGATGCATTGACCTTGATTTAACCTTTCCTAAAAATTATCTTACTGGTTTATTTTTTATGCATCTTTTGAATTTCAAGGTAGCACGGTGGGGTTTGGCCAGAGCCATAAATAAAATTAGTACTATTGCTTTATAACCTTTTGGATGATGAATTACTTTTGTTGAGGAAGAAAAATGTTAAGTCAACTTATTCTGGTTTTGGCCTCAGTACAAAAGCAGTTTTTTTGCTATCCCTATGACTGTTAGCATCATATAAATCCAGGCCAGAACACTGACCACTATAAGCAGCCCATTGTTCTCCATACTACATATTTTGTCTGTCAACTTTATAGGCTGGAAACTGCATGAAAACTCCAAAAACTTTGAACATATATCAGATACATAAAATTACAAATTTGTAGTTTTTATTGATTTGGGAAAACAACTCAACAGCAGCTGTAAAGTTAGTCCAGAGGACCCTATTCCTGGGCTGACCATGGTTAGTAGACTTTTGTATGGTACCAATACCAGCAATGAATTCTTCTAAAAGTTAGGTTTGTTAGGTCATGGAATCATTGACTCCTGCAGCCCATCTGTGGACTCCTATGTCTCCATTTGTTCTTGCAGGAGCGTCACCACACCAAAGTCCAGTATCAGCTGAAGTCGGAGTGGATCTCCCTGGCTCAGGTCTTCAGTAAGATGGAGCAGGTGGTGGAGGTGCTGGGCATTGAGGACTACTCTGTCAGCCAGACCACTCTAGACAACGTGAGTCAGTGTGTGATGTATTTGTGACCAGGAACCACTAATATAATCTCACTGACCTCCATCTTCCTAATTTTTGCAAAGGTATTTGTAAACTTTGCTAAGAAGCAAAGCGACAACTTGGAGCAGCAGGAGGTGCTGCCCCCCGCAGGTGCACAGACACCCCTGCAGCAAATCTTCAGTCTGCTGAAGTCTCACACAGGGAACACGGAACTCAATGCTCTCATCAGCGAGGCACCTGAGGAGCTGGAGAGTGACGATGATGAGGGACTCATCAGCTTTGAGGAGGAAAGGGTGAGTGCATCACACTTTTAATATTTTGGTTTTGTCTTTTGGTAAATAAAATAAGGTTATAAAGTTGATGGATGTGGATACATTTTTTATCTAATTCTTGAATTGTTTAATCATCATGGAATTATATATTTTTACAAAATGATTTTTGAGTTTAATTAAGTCCAGCTACAAATCATCATCACAATGATCAACAACAATATCTTAATTAGAGCTGGCAATCAATGTAGAGCCTAAATGAATGAATACTGGTAAAGTGGTATCCCTGCTGCATTTGTGCATGTTTTTGTGTGTTTGGTAGGTGCAGCTCTCCTTCAACACCGACACTCTCTGTTGAATCAATCATCCGACTGCAGGGAGGCGAGGAGAGGGAGAGCGAAGAGAGTTCAGCTGTGTGTTCCTGAGCTCTTGGGCTTGATTTAACCCTGAGGAGGACCAACAACAATCTGCACTATGGGACGTGGGACCAGTGGCGTATTATTTCTGCCTCTTACTCTAAGCAGGAGCCTGTTAGTGAGAAAAGGTCAGATCACAGAAAGTCCAGGGAGAGACACGATAGCAGCAGCAATGTCTGTGGTGTTTGAACAGTGAACCTTAGAATGTTTTATTCATCAGTTTTACAAGTGGATTTTACCTTAGGGGTACAACAGGTGCACTGTCTCAACTCAAACCTGAACTCTAAACAGATGATTAAATGAAAAGACACAACAGACACGACAGAAATACACTCCCAGCCAAAAATGTTTAATATCAGTAGAGCACGCTGTTTGCCCAGACAGCATGCTGTGATGATGCTGATTTTCAATGGTTTTATTTAGTGGTAAAATGTGATACAGTCTATTTTTCTGTGGAGACACGAATGATTTATTTTGGTTACGGAAGCAGATAGAGACTGGAGTGTGTAATTAATTTAGCACTATCAGAGGGGGACTTAATGAAAAGCACCTTGGCTATTAGTACCAGACGGTACGCCTGTATGTGTGTGTGTCTGAGAGTGAGAGACTGACAGAGTGCTGTTTGCCTTCATTTCAACTTCACATCTGTGACACAGGCCTGTTCCGTATCTTGGAGGATATTTTTAAAAATTGTGATTTTAAAAATATTCCTGTCCATACATACTGATTTGATTCAAGGTTACACACAAAATACACTGTTTAGTTCTGCTAAAGGCATAGCAAGTTTAAAGATGGCCGACTTGTCTCCTTCACTCATTAAAGTGCATGAAAGAGACAAGGTTTAGGCAGTGGTAAAAGTTCTTCAACTATTTCTTAGTATGATGCTGAACTACAAACGTCCTAGGGCTGCAGGCAGCACTGAACAGGATCAAGCAACTTCATTCTGATATGTATGTGATGTGACCATAACCTAAAATACTAATGTGAACATTGTAGATTACAGGATAAGGTCACTGTTTTCCTTCACACAGGAAACTGTAGAAACTTGTAGTAGAAACTTGTTGTTGTTCTTCTTTTTCTTTCAGCTTTGTCCCTTTTTCAGGGGTTGCCACAGCGAATCATTGTTTTCCATCTCTCTCTGTTCTCTGTATCTTCTACTCTGACTCCAACTATCTGCATGTCCTCCCTCACTGCATCCATGTATCTCCTCTTTGGCCTTCCTCTTTGTCTCCTACCTGGTAGCTCCATCGACCAACATTCTTCTACCAATGTATCCACTGTCCCTCCTCTGCACATGTCCAAACCATCTCAATCTGGCTTCTCTAGCTTTTTCTCCAAACCTTCCTGTCTGTGTTGTCCCTCTAATG